GGAGAAGCTGGTATCTGACAGTGTGAATCACAGAATGGAATCATAGAATCCCTACAGTGTGGAAACAGGCCCTTCAGCCCAACAAGTCTACACTGAATCTCAGAGTATCCCACCCAGACACATCCCCTTATAACCCATATAATCTACACATCCCTATGGGCAATTTAGCATGGCCAATCCACCCTAACCCTGCACATCTTTGGACAGGGGGAGGAAACCAGAGCACCCGGAGGAAACCCACACAGACACGGGGAGAACGTGCAAACTCTACACAGACAGTCGCCTGAGGCTGGAGTTGAACCGGGGTCCCTGACGCTGTGAGGCAGCAGTGCTAACCACTGAGCGTGTGTGTGTGTGTGTGTGTGTGTGTGTGTGTTTGAAACAGGGAAGCTGGAATAAAGTGGGAAGGGGTTAAATTAGTGACAGAAGAGTTCTCTCTTCCACCTTATGTTACAAAAACTGCAGAAATATCACAGGTTTTACATGCCTCTCTGACTACACAACGTCGTGATGGATTCTGTCCATTGAGTTACAACCTCTCTCATCACAGAAGCACGGTTCTTTTAACACTTGCTTTCCACATTACTGATACGCAACAATCAGGAAACCCAAGTTCCTCTTTCAGAGGCACCACATCCAATTCAATTACATAACCTTCAGCTGTTAGAAGCTGAGCAAAACAGTATATATCTTACCAGGCACAGGCAGCTCTGCTCACTCCACTCTCTTTGTCCTCTGAAGCAGGTGGAATGAGGCCATTTCTACAAAGAAAAACTAGCACTAAGTTAAATGTCACAAACTCTCCAGTGCCTTGGTTGTAATGCTATTTTTACACTCTGTTTTATGACTGATACCACTGTTTAAATTACTTTCCTGCAGTGAGCTTAAAAATAGGCCTGAAACACAGGCTTGTGAACAAAGGTCACTGTTCCTAGGTTACCTAAAGTAATCCAATGCTTCAAGTTAGGGTTTACACAGGATTAAAAACAACAGATTAACAGGCCATTTGACCAAAGGTGTTCATGCCATTATCTTGGCAGGTGCTAATGCTTGCTTTTTGGCTACATACTGATTGATAGATATTGGTTACATTTTGCCATAGATTCATTTTTCAGAACTACACTTGGTTGCACTCCCAACCTTAGGCATCCTAGTCCAGAGCTACAGTACCCTATGTACAAGGTAATTTGTACAAAAGCTTCTTGCCTCCACGTTCGCTGTTCCAAGAGGAGTATAATTTGAACTCTAATATGGCACAGTGAAATTAGACAGGTACACCGTGAGGCTTGAGAAACGAGAAAGAAGCTGCAAGCGCTGAGCATGAGAGATCCACAAAACAGGTCCCTCACTGCTCAGGAAGGCAGACAGTCCTTCCCACGTACAAGAAACAGGAACTGCCATCTTACTATTTACGGCCTTGTAGCTACCTCACCGTGTATGGCCCGCGTCGCTGCCTGCAAGGTTACAGCAGGTTTGCTTTTCAGGGGATTCGGAACAGGACTAGGCCACTCGGCCCCTCGACCCTGCTCCGCCATTCTAAACAGCCAAGTTGTGGTCTCGGCTCCACTTTCCAGTTCCCACATCTTCCCACCTCACCTTCTGCATCCTACATAACCCTTGACTCCCAAGCCCATCGAAACTCTCTTGGATGCAGCCCCAAGTGGACATTAAGACCCATCTGGGGCTGGGGAAGAGAAGGTATTCTCCTCAACTCTGTCTAAAAAGGGAGGCCTCTTATTCTGAAACTAAATCCTTGCACTCTATCCAATCACTGTGAAATCTTGAACGTTTCAGTAAGACACTAACTACAGTCCTTGTGAAGCGATTTCACAGGAAAGTACAAGGGGAGGCAATGGCCCAGTGGTGTTACCACTACAGCGTTAATCCAGAAGCTCAGTTAATGTTCTGGGTACCTGGTTTGAGCCCCATAAAAGCATGTTCTGGAATTTGAAGTCAATAATAAACTAGAGGGTTTTTTTTTAATTCATTCATATGGTGAGGGCATCACTGGGTGGGCCAGAATTTATTGTCCAACCATTTTTTGCCCAGAGGGCAGTTAAGAGTCAACCAAATATTGCTGTGGGTCTCGAGTCACATGTAGGCCAGACCAGGTAAGGATGGCAGTTTCCTTCCATAAAGGGGCATTAGTGAACCAGGTGGGTTTTTACCTCAACACTTGACATGGCCATCATTAGATTCTTAACCCCAGATATTTATTGAATACAACCTCTACCATCTGCCCTGGTGGGATTCAAACCCATGTTCCCAGAACGTTACCTGGGTCTCCCGGATTGACGCTCGCGCGATAATACCACTTGGCCACTGCCTCCCCTATGGTAAGAATCTAACGGTCATTTAAAAACCCATCTGGTTCACTCATGTCCTTTAGAGAGGAGGAAATCTGCCATCCTCACCTGGTCATGTCATTGAGGGGATGGACAATAAATGCTAGCCTGGGCAGTGATATCCACATCCCATGAATAGAATAAAAATACTCTTTTTAATTCTTCTTTTGCTCAAATCTAGGTAGCCTCAATTACTCCTCATGGTAACAACCTATCAGTGCCATCACTCTCAGAGTAAAAAAAGGTTTTATTGATGATGGCCTGATATTTAAGGCTGCCCCACTGCCTTTTATCGAATTCCTTTACAAATTTAAACAGTCAACCCTCAGCCTTCTCTTTAGAGAACAATGATCTTCAATCCTTCCAAGCCTGACAAAGGCTCTCCTTGTGACCTGCCTCCTTTTTATTTTTAAACAGTGTACAGGCTCAGGCGGAAACTTTGTACATTTCCAGTCATTTCTGTTCACGCGAGACAGAACCAGAATTTGCATAGCTCTGAAGATTAGGGAATCCAGGAAACATATGGTGCTGAGTTTATTTTTAGAGTCCAAAGAGAATCAAAATAGATTACGCTTGGAGACTAGAGCAAACGAATCTCGCTCCGAACGAGCAAGAGTTGAAACTTGTTCAGTCTCGTGGCAGCTAGGGAGACACGCAGAGAGAACAACCCCACATTTATTTAGTGCCTTTCACTTCCAAAGTGTTCCCCCGCCAAACCTGAAGTGATGCCACTCTGGCAAACACATCGGCCAACTGGCTCGCAGAGCAAGATCCCAGAGCCAACAAACAGCTGATTGGTTAATTTGGTGTTGGTCGAATGATAAAAAAATTCCCATGATACTCTCGGAAGGAAGAGCCGGATAGAAACAGAGAAAGCAGGGACAAGAGGAGGCCACTCGGCCCTTTGAAACTGCTCCGCCATTCAATATTATGCATCATGTATCTCCATGTCATATGCCTGCTTTAGCTACATACCTCTCAAAATTATCTATCTCTTTCTTGGATGTATTCAGTGATTCAGCCTCTGTGCCAGAGAATTCTACTGGTTCACTATCTTATCAGTGAGCAATACTTTTCCTAATTTCAGTCCCAAATGGGATACCCTGTATCCTGACGCTGTGCCCCTTGGTTCTAGACTCTCTAACCAGGGAAACCCTAAGCTTAGTCAGTCCAGCCCTGTTAGAATGTTAAGTCAGTGTCTATGGAGTTAAAGTTGATTAAAATCCCATTGCTTTTTAGAATCTTAGAAGTATGGTTAGCTACTATGTGCCAAAGAGTCTCTTTTCTGTGCTGCGGACCTCAAATGACAGTTATGTGACTCCAAAGCAATGAAAGCTGTCCATTCATTAATCTCTGCTCAGATCTTAGGCAGGAATCCTGTCCACTTAATTTCTGATTCAATCAATATCTCCCCGATTTTTAACTTTTGCGTGAAGTTCCCAGTTAAAACCAAGAGAAATAAAAGAACTTTTTAAAAAAGCATCCACAACCACACTTTACAACATGACCAAAAGAAAATCCCAGAAAATCTCCCATTTCTGAAGAAGGGTCTATGCCCGAAACGTCAGCCTTCCTGCTCCTCTGATGCTGCTTGGCCTGCTGTGTTCATCCAGCTCTACACCTTCTTATCTCAGATTCTCCAGCATCTGCGGTTCCTACTAACCCAGATTAGAAGCCACCCTTTTAGAAACGCCTGGAGTTAAAAGCAGGCGATTTCTATTTTAGAGTTCCTTTGTTATTCTAGCCATGCGACCCCCTTCATCCCCCCACTTCTCCTAATGAGTAACCGATTCTGGTCATCGTGGGTTTGGAATCTCAGTATTCAAGCCCTCACCCATCCCAATTTGCAAATACACACCAGAATGACTATTGCACACAGAAACACAAATCCCCACCCCATTCACATCCAAATCCAGCCTAGAGCTAGAGGTTCAAATAAATGGCTGAGCAACACTCCCACTACCACCAAACCAACGCCAACGCCCCCTCCCCCCCCCACACCCCACCCTGCCCCCACACCCTGCGGAAAAAAAAGACGTGGTAAACCCCACAATGAATGGGACCCAGAGAGGCAGCTCACAGTTCTAACAATCCACTCCCACGCAGCCAACGTGTGGTATTTTACCCTCGGAATACAAGTTTAATTATAGAACAAGCAAGATATAAATCCGCTCATTCTGTCAGGGATAGCACTAAAAATAAAATGTCCAAATTAAGTCTGGTCTCTTTCAGTTCCTGCAATCAAATTCAGTAGAGTTTTACTTTTAAATAAAAGGCTATTGCCAACAATTTTAGGCACTGGCTTTTCAATCATTAATAAATTGATTAATAGTTATTAGCTTCTGAATGTATCCTCTGACTTCATAGAAAAGTGTTTATTGAGGTGCATATATTATGAAGCTCTGTCTGTCTCACTTGCTTCTCTCACACAGACACACTCCTCTCCCCACTTCTGTCAAGGACAGCTATCCAGCGCCTAATTAGATCAACATGGAGCGGTCATCACACTGACCCACTTTACATGTAAGTAAAACAGAAAACAGGCAAAACATTGCCAAGATTGGTAAACTGGGCTGGCAGAATGAAACAGGAGAGAGAGAGAGAGAGAGAGATATCATCACTACACATGTACAACACAGAGATTCGACACAGTACCTTCTGCTAAGACTTTACACAAAGCATCCACAAATTGTGCACTCTTCCTTTGCCAGATATAACATATACAAATTGATCTCTTGCTCTATATATTTAAGATATAGAGGTGTTTGCTTTCCTGTCTGTATCTTGCCTGTGTGGATCTTGGAGCAACTTGTATCTTTGCTGGTTGTGTCTTTGCTCTGGCTGTTATCGTTGTACCTTTCCCTTCCTCATTGCCAGGAACTGTGGGGATATGTGTTAGTAGGTCGGTCGTTGCATAACAGCCACTTAACTGCCTAGTCACGTTTGAGCTGGGGCTTTTTTTTTCTCTCCTTTTTGCGCAGTGGAGAAGAAAAAACTAGGCAGGAAGCCAAGAGAAAGCTAGAGGAAAAACAGAGTCAGAGACCTGTCGCCACCATTCCAGGGGAGGGGAGAGTGTGATGTGTACAAGAGAGAGAGAGAGATGCATAAAAGGAAGAGAAACAAAGACAGATAGGAAGAGCGAGGAAGTAAGGAAGGGAATATTGAAAGGGGGGAGGGTCATTTAAAATCAATTAATAGCATTTATTTCCCCCAACACGTGGATAAAAGGGTTGCAAATAAAATTCAAATCCTATATCCACAGCAAGAGACAAAAGAAACCAGCAAATTAACAACATCTCCCTCTCCCCCCGCCGATAGAGTAACGCACAAAGGGATTTCTTGCAAGTGGGAATGTTTTGGGAAGTGGGGACCCTGTTATGTAATTTCAAAGCAATCAAGTCAGTTTTACTGGAGGCATCACACACACAGAGTAAAGGTAGCCATTCGGCCCCTCCCAGTGCATGCTTGCTCTCCGCCTGAGGTCGCCCACAGCAACTCCCAACCCTGCCCCTCTTTTAGGGGTTCATTTATATAAACTCGAGTGAATCTGCCTGCAATCAAACACCTCCCTGAGGTGTCTGAACTGTTACTGAGCCCTCCAGTTAGTTTCTCACCAACCTGTTCAGCGATGTAGTCACATACCTCTGGAACAGGTGGGTCTTGAACCTGGGCTTCCTAGCTGAGCGGTACACACTACCACTGCACCACAAGAACCTACTTACCCCTCTATCTGCATCACCGTAAGAGATCACTTATCACATCGTTGTTGGTGGGATCTTGCTGTACACAAATTGGCTGCTCCATTATAACAGCGACTCCAGTGAAATGCGAGGTGGTGCATTTTTGGTAGGGATAGCATACAGAGAGCGAATATAAAATACAACTCTAAATACAGCGAATAATCCTGAAAGACCTGTGGATGTGGATTTCTCTCCATGGATGCTGCCAGACCTGCTGAGATTTTCCAGCAATTTCAGTTTTTGTTACTAAATACAGTGACCTGGGATGTGTGTGTGTGTGTCTGTGTGTGTGTGTGTCTGTGTGTGTACCTGTGTGTGTCTATGTGTGCCCTGTGTGTGTGTCCGTGTGTCTGCGTGTGTCCGTGTCCATGTGTCTGCGTATGTGTGTGTTGTCTGTGTCTCTGTGTGTGTGTGTGTCTGTGTATGTGTGTGTGTGTCTGTGTCCGTGTGTCTGTGTATGTGTCTGTGTCTGTGTGTGTGCGTGTGTGTATATATAAGTTATTCAAAGTGGCAAGAAAGGATAATATGAGAGTTTATAAAGAATGTATTATCCTGGGTTTTATTAATGGAGCAGAGAGTGTGAGAACAAGGAGGTTAAGCTGAATTTATATAAGACTGTAGTTTGGCTTCAGCTGAATATTGTGTTCATTCCACTTTAGGAAGGATGTGACTGGGAGAGTGCAAAAGAGGTTTAGAGAATGACTCACAGATGAGGAATTTCAATGATGAAGATAAACTGGAGAAGTTGGGACTGTGGACTATGAAAACAATGCTGTGGAACGCTCCAAAAAGTTGGACCGTTCTGTATCACCCTTGGAAACATTCCTAAAGAAAAACCCCTTTGAGCGCAAGTCCATCAGGAAGTGGTCAGCATGTAGTGTCTTCGAGACCCTACAGGAGAAGGAGAGGGTGGACCCTGCTGGATGGTTCCCTGTCAATGTCATTTGGGAAAATGTTCCATCACCAGAACTTTCCAACAAGCTTGGTTGGTGGTGAGAGGGGCACTACCTGTGAGATCCATTATGTAGACCCATTCGGTCTGTGCCACCTCACGCTGCCCTCGAAGTGGCTGTGTTGGGGGTGGGGGGGAGGTCAGGGCAGAGACTGAGACGTATTTCCTTCTGGAATGTACCTTTGCAAACAAAGTCTGGAGGAAGATGGTTCTTGTTGAAGTTCATCCCGAGCAGCTCCGTGATGCGGGACTCTGTGCTCTACGGTCTGTTCCCCGGGATGCACGCCGAGACAAACATTGACTGCGCCTGGAGAACCATCAACTCGATGAAAGACACTCTTTGGTCTGCCCGAAACTTGTTGGTCTTCTATTCCAAAGGATAGTCCTTAACTGAGTGTCACAGACTGGCACATTCCAAGGTCCAGGACTAAAGCTTGGGGCAGCTGGAGAAGAGAAAAAAGCACTGTCATAAGGGCTCTTTGGTTTAATATAACTGTTATGTTCCATTTCAGAGCTTTCATTGGAATATAAATAGTTCCTTGTCATGTTTAGGAAATGCCTTTTTGTCGCAACTGGATTAAAGAATTAATGAGGAATGTCGAAATTTTGCTGCATTTTCTGTAACGTGCGTACTGAACTGTTTTGTGCATTTTGAATTGTAGCTAGTTTGTGAACAAAGCACATTTTTGAAATTAAAAAAAACAAAGGCAGAAGGTTTGGTGACAAGCTTGTCTGCCCTCTGTTGGCTGGGAAGCACCCATCAGGCGAAAAATCTGTTGAAAATGACTGATGGGAAGAGTCGGTATGGATTCGCAACAGAGCCCAGGGCAGGTCCTGTACCTTGGACATTAGTCAGCTCCTCCACAAGAGGCTACTGAATGGGAAAAAGACAATCAATGGTGAGGCACTCAGCTATAAGATACAGGTACGGTAACCATCTAGTTGTAGTGTGTAAAGTTGAGCCTCATATTAGTGCTGCATGTTGAGACTGGAGACTAACATACTGGGTTTACACGAGACTGTACCTTTTGCAGCTGAGAAAAATGGTCTTACACGCTGAGTTGACTGCAATCCATGTCTGTATATGTAAATGTACACGTATGTGCGTTTGTACCGCCAGGGATAAAATGCACGTGTGCACTTACATGAATGTCATAGGAACAAGAGGAGGCCATTCAGCCCCTTGAGCCTGTTCCACCATTCCATGAGATCATGACTTATCTATGGCCTAACCCCATCTACCTGCCTTTGGCCCATATCCCTTTATACGTTTGCTTAACAAAAATGTATCTATCTCAGATTTAAAATGAGGAACTGATCCACTTGCTGTTTGTGGAAGAGGGTTCCAAACAGCAACTGTTCTTTGTGTGAACAAACTGTTTCCTGACATCTGTCCTGAACGGTCTGACCCTAATTCTCAGACTATGCACCTAGTTCTAGAATCCCCATCCAGTGGCAATAGTTTATCTTTATCTGCCCTGTCTTTTCTTGTTAATATCTTGAAGACGTTGATCAGATCACCCCTTAACCATCTCGATTCTAAAGTAAAACAGGCCTAATTTGTGTAATCCCTCCTCATAACTTGACCCCGAGACAAAGTTCATTAATACTTAATCCTACGAAGCACTTTGGGATATTTTCCAGTTTGAAGATGCCGAGTGGGAGAAGGATGAGGGAATGGGGGTCCAGAATTAGGCGACACAATCTCAGAATAAGGGCCAGATCATTTTGGATTGAGATGAGGAACGTAGTGAACCCTCTACCCCTGAGTGCTGCAGAGCCTCCATCATGGAGTATGTTCAGGACAGAGATTGAGGAATTGTTCACATTTTTTTCTTTTAAAAGACATAACAGAAACAAAAACACGTATATTTAACAACAGTTTTGAAAGCTACAGTTTTTTCAATATAGTCATCAACAGTATTGAAAATTTTCCTGACACACGCGCACACACGCGCACACGCACACAGCTATAGGACCTTTCCTGACACACACACACACGCACACTCAGCTATAGGGCCTTTCCTGACACACACACACCTATAGCTGAGTGTGTGTGTGTCAGGAAAGGTCCTAGTGTGTGTGTAAGTTTGCAAATTTTGTTCAACTACATTTTAAAAATCAGTGGAATTTCAACCAGATAAGAGGATAGCAGCATGGGAGCACACTTTTTTAACGTGAAATCTTGAACATCAAGGGAGAACTCACAGACATAGGGTTGAAGTAAAAGGCCATCAATGATTGGTGGAGCAGGCTCGAGGGGCTGAATGGTCTCCTCCAATTTGCTATTTCTAATATTCTTATGATCCTATAAATAAAATCTGCAAGTGGTTGTTCATGTAACAGCAGTGCTGCACAGATGGGAGTATGCATTTAGCAAGAATAACTATTCATTGCAAATAAATAGATTCGAGCTACAAATAAAAATATGATGAACCGTTGATGTAACCCTACTGGTTACAATTGTAATCCCCTTACTAAGTGGTGTTAGCGCTGGATTGTGAATCCAAAGACCCAGGTAATGTCCTGGGGGCCAGGGTTTGAATCCCGCCAATAGTGGTATTTGAATTCAATAAAAATCTGGAATTAGGACCCTAATGATGACCATTGTCAACTGTCAGGAAAGGTCCTAGAGCTGAGTGTGTGTGTGTGTGTGTGTGTGTTAGGAAAGGCCCTATAGCTGAGTGTGTGTGAGTGTGTATGTGTGTGTATGTGTCAGGAAAGGTCCTAGAGCTGGGTGTGTGTGTGTGTGTGTGTATGTGTGTTAGGAAAGGCCCTATAGCTGAGTGTGTGTGAGTGTGTATGTGTGTGTATGTGTCAGGAAAGGTCCTATAGCTGAGTGTGTGTGTGTGTGTCAGGAAAGGTCCTATAGCTGAGTGTGTGTGTGTGTGTGTGTGTGTGTCAGGAAAGGTCCTATAGCTGAGTGTGTGTGTGAGTGTGTGGTTCTGCTGAGTAGGTTGGACAGGTCAGAAGCACAAATAGGGTGTGGGCTCAGCCAGTTTGGTCTAGGAGACTGTAAAGCCGCACCAGTAAGTGGAGATTTCAGTGTTTCCCTGGCCGCTAATGCACCGTCTCCCAATCACAGAGACATCAGCTCCCATCAACTCGGGCACAGCTTCACGGTGTATTCAGGCCATGGGGTAATTTCAATTCCAGGCTATCAGCGATTAGGATGAATGTTGCTAAATCCACACTTTCAGTAAGGACAGTCTGAATTCCAAGCATTTATCTGCTCT